GACGTGCTGGTCACGGCCCCCCCAGGGCGCTCGACGCCCCACATGGCGAATGGGAGAGCGCTGGCAGCCCACGTCCATTGGGGGGTGCCTGGAGGATTCATTGTGATTTCAACATATCTTTATGTGAATGAAGGCCTCTCTGATAATAACGTTCGCATCTTGGCAGAGATCTGTGAATACATTGAAGTTGTCAACGCGATGGGTCTTGATTGGATCGTCGCGGGAGACTTCAACCTGGAGCAGGCCGAGTTCGGAGACATGGAATGGTTGTATGGATTGGGAGGTGTGTTGACGCGCCCATCAGTTTCGACGTGCAGGCAGTCGTTGCCAGGCAGGACGATAGACTATTTCCTGATGACCACCAATCTGCTCCCCAGAACGTGCCGCCCGTATGTGCAGGAAAATGGAGACACATTCCCACACCTGCCAGTTGTATTACCTATCATGGGGAAGGATGTTGTTTTGAAGACTCGTACGTTGGTCAGCCCGAAGCGCCCTTCGAGACAGCCGAAGCCTGGGTGCTCTAGATACCCTTTGAACTGGTGCCAGGTCAATCGTATTATTGATCAAGCGATTGATAATCCCACATTGAGTGCAGCATGGGACGCAGTCTTGGCACAGTTGGAGATTGAGTTGCTTGCCAGATATGATATTGTCGGATCTCACACTGAGGCTTACCGAGGCAGAGGCGGAGACACCCAAATGCAGTATGCTAAGTTGCGGTGGGAGCCGCCTAGGCGCAGAGGTGAGCAGACAACACGAGACAGAGCTTGGAGAGCAGCAGGCCGATGGGCCCGCCATTTACGCCGCTACAAAGAGAGCCTTGTCAATCAGGCTGTGCTGCTATGCCATCAGGAGCGGGCGGGTACGATGTCCAGCAAGGCTTTCGACAAGTTTGCTCGTATGCTAGTGGACATCACCAAGTTCATGACAAGGATTCGCAACGATCCTTTACGCGACGCCTTGGATGATGATGCTCGGAACTTCTTCGACATGGACATCGGTTTCGTCACCAGTGGTCGTGCGAATGACATGATTGAGAGCATCATCGGTCGAGCGGACGAGTGCCAGAAGCGCCAGAATGACACAGCCTTGGCGTGTTGGCGAGAGTGGGCGGCTTCGTCGTTCAAAGGTGGAGGTCGTTTCGCACACCGTCACACTCGAGGCCGTGCTCTTCAGGAAGTTTGTGCTGCCTGCCTGCTCCCTGGTTCGGAGGCGCAGCCATTCAAGATGGCGGACAGAGCTATGCGAGAGTGGGACGCCATATGGCACATGCATGATCTTCCTGAGCCAGTACCTCACGCATCTGAGCAGTGGGACGACCTACCACATATATCCCTGGACGATATCAAGCGTGCGATCCTGCAGTTCCCCTGGACCACGGGCATCGGGCACTTCGAGTTCGCGCCCCGCGCGTTCTGGTTCGTTTCGGACGCCGGCCTGGAGTCGCTGGCGCGCTTGTTCATGCGATGTGAAAAGCTTCTGATTTGGCCGTCGTCTCGCATACTTACTCAGCTTGTGCGTATTCCGAAGTCCACAGGCGGCTGCAGGCTGATCGCCCTAATGCACACCCTCACTCGGATTTGGGGACGTGTTCGCCGTCCAACAGCGGTCGCCTGGGAGCGTGACCACGCGCATCCCACGGTGTGGGGGACAGGTCCAGGGCGATCGTCCAGTGACAGCGCCTTCTCTTTAAATTTAGCTTCGGAGATTGCGCACGAATTGCGAGAGGATTGTGTTACTGTTTTCATAGACATGGTGAAATGTTATGAATGTGTAGACCTCCAGGCCCTCTTGAGGGAGGCCAAGGCCACAGGGTTCCCGCTCCGTCTGGCCTGGATGGCCATCCAGAACTACACCCAGCCTAGAGCCCTTAGAGCCTTCGGTAGTTTGTCGTACTCGGTTTCCACGGCCCAAGGGATCTTAGCTGGGTGTTCTCTAGCCACCACTCTGCTCACGGTGCTTCTATATAGAAGTTTGAACCTGTCGGTGGAGCGATTCCCATCTGTGGAACCCAGGGACCTGATGGATGACGTGAGTTTTAACTGGGTGGGCAAACGCCGCCAAGGCAAAGATCCAGGAGAGAGCTCACATGTGCTTGCGCAGGCGGTTCAGTCTTTCTGCCATGATATTGCCCCCCTCGGATTGCGTGTGCAGGCGAATAAGAGTGGGTTTGTGGCCAACACTTGTGCCGCCCGTGACACATTCGCACGGCACATTTCGCAGCTAGGTTTTCGCAGCAAGCACGGCATGCGTAATCTAGGGCACGAGATGCACGGAGTCAAGGTTCTGCGGGTCCAAGAGAAGGCCCGACTTCGAGTCTTGCAGTCCAAGAGGCGTAAAGTCTGGGGGCTCCGTCAGGCTCAACCTGAGGCCGTCAAGGCCCTTTGGCGAACGGGGCTCCTCCCAGCAGCCAGCCACGGAGGTGGCGTTAGCGGTGTGTCCGATGTTTCTCTCCGCGAGCTGCGTACGTTTGCGGGAGGGATGGTAGGAGTTAAGCCCAAGTCCTGCCTCACTACCTATCTATGCACGCAAAAGGACGATAGGTTCGACCCTGTGTTCGATGCTTCGGTTCCGCTTGTTGTGAGGTTTGCTACTTGTGTCTGGGAAGCCAGGGTCGTTCCTTCACGTCTTGCTCGAGCTTGGCTCGCGATCAAAGACAGAATTCAGCACAATCCAGCGTGGAAGTTTGCCAGGGGTCCGATTTCTTCGGTATGGTATACGCTCCTTCGGATAGGGTGGTCAATGTCAGGACCCACCACCTTAGTGAGCGACGAGGGCTGGCCCATCGACCTGCTCCGTGTATGTCCTCAGGACGTGCGCATTTTTCTGGAGCAGGGAATTCGAAGATGGCAGGTTGCGAGGGTCCTGGCCCATTTCCCCGACAACCAGGGGCACACTGTTTGGCGTCGTGCGCTTCGGAAATCAGTGCTTGCTCTCCGTGATGGGGGCCGTCGTGGGGCGCTGCGGTCCTTGTGGGCTGCGGGGGTCTGGACTCCTGAGCGCCTCCATTCGATTAATTTGCGCCCGACGCCGTTGTGTTTTGTGTGTAAAGAGCAGGTCGGCACCGAGGCCCACCAGTGGTGGGGTTGCGATGGCATGCTTGAGTGTAGGCCTGAAGAAGCTTTGCCCGACGACGTTTTGGAGCACCGTGCCAGCTTGGTCAAGAGCTACCAGACAGACAATGGCAAGGAGGCTTTCTTTTTAAATTATGGGCTGCCGCCCTTGCCGCCCTTTCCAGAGCCAGTCGCCGACTCGCTTCCGACGATGGGGTGGGGTGACTGGCGGGGAGCTTGGGGGCCGAGGGTGTACACGGACGGGTCAGGCCTGGCGAATTCGATGGAAGGCCTGACGCGCTGCGGCTGGGCCGCGGTCCAATTAGATGAGTCTGGCTGTGTAGTCAGAGCGATCTATGGCCCGCTTCCAGGTAGGCTTCAGACCGTCCCTAGGGCGGAACATTATGCTGCCCTTCGAGCCATCCAGATTGCAGCGCACCCAGCAGAGATTGTGTCTGATCATCTCAGTTTGGTGAAGGCAGGTCGGCAGCCCTCTTCTTTGTGCGAATCAGGTGCTTCTCGTCAGGCGTCTATCTGGAGGCAGATTAGGCACGTTGTCGGACAGTCGGAGCCTCCCACCTTTCGCTGGACGAGCGCCCATCGTTCCCTGGACGACGTGCTGCCCCTAGGGGCGGCCGAAGTGTTTGATTTCGTCGGAAATGAATGGGCCGATTATTTTGCCAAATTGGGCTCGCAGTCCCATGCTGTTGCGCAGGTTCTCGTTGATGTGCACAAATCCAGATTGCAGGTCGCGCGTAAGGACGGAGAGGCCTTTGCCTGGATGGTCCAGGCGGCCGCGAGGAAGGCGGAGCAGCTGCAGCCAGCAGCCGACGCCCCTGCGCCCCGCAAGGCCCCCCCCGCGCCCTCGCTTGCTGTCACATCTCACACGATGATGTTCTGTGCAGCTATCTCTGAATACAGGTGTATGGTGTGCAATCGTTTTGCTCGCACCACCCTGTCCTATCGTTTTTTGCGTAACTCGGCTTGTGCTCCCTCGGCCCTTCAGCGGGCAACTGCGGAGCGCTTCTTCCGTCTGACCCCCCAGCACTACGTGTCTGATTCGACGCCGTCGGTGCAGGTGGCGGTCGAGGCCGCAGGAGGCCCGCTACATGAGGAGGAAGGAGGGATGCTGCCTGCCGCTGCTGCTGCTGATGGGGTGGTGGAGGTGTGCACTTCTCTCGGACATCCCGCCGAACGATTCGGCCCCGCCGTTATCTGTTTAGCCTGCGGGGCCTTTTCGATTAATGGTGGTCGGAATCCGAAACTCACGGCGAAGGCCTGTAAAGGCCACTCTCCCGTGGCCTCAACGCGGGCCAACGAGGAGAGCAACATTTCTAGGGTCCTCAGGGGCCTGCATCCCCGATCGGGCGTGCCCTTGTCGCTCGATTGATGCGTGTGCTGCGCCTCGCCACTCTCAGCCAACTTTCCCGCTGAGATGGTGGCCGAGCCTCGGCACATAAGAGCTGGGCAAGGGTGGCCAATGCCCCCTGCCTGGCTTCTCACGCTCCTGCTGGGGGGTGTCAGTGACCCTGACACTTCTTTCATCGCTGCCTGCCTCCTCCTCCTCGGGTCGCCTACGGCCCCGGGGGAAACCGTGCAGGGGGGGGGGGGGGGAAGATGGGTCGGCTCCTCGAGGCGGCCGCCTGACCTGGGTCAGCCCAGGAGGGGACCCCAGGCCCTCTCCGATGCGATCTCGCCCCCTCGCTGCGCGGCCCCGAGCGTCCCGACCCCGTCCCCGGGGCCAGCTTGTCGCCCTCGGGGTCCGTCTTGGTGGCCGAGGGCCGGCCCGGGAGGCCCAAGTCGAGGAAACACCGCCAGCGGAACAAACAGCACACCGTCGTGGATCCGGGACTGGGGGGGAGCTGGCCGACCCCGCCTTCGCGCCGACCTCCGTGGCGTGCGCTCCTGCCCTCCTGCGACGCTCCCGCTCCCGCTTCTCCGGGCCTGCTGCGTGGCGGTGTAGTGCAGGAGCGGCGTCTCTGGTGACGAGGACTTCGTGTACGTGGAGAAGCTCCTGAGGGAGAGAGGAGGAGGGAATCGGGATGGATGAGGAGGAGGAGGAGGAACTGAGCGAGCCCAAGATGTTTCAACGATGCTGCCATGCACTCTCCTTGGACGCCCGAGTTATCCGGGGTAACTCGGGTCCGGGGTAACTCGGGTTTGGGTTCCCGAAAAACGAACCCGAGTTAGCCCTGACCCGAGTTACCCCTGATGATTCGGGGCTCTGGACGCCCGAAATATCCGGGGTAACTCGGGTCCGGGGTAACTCGGGTTCAGATTCCCGAAAAACGAACCCGAGTTAACCCTGACCCGAGTTACCCCTGATGATTCGGGGCTCTGATCTCCTGTCCTGGGTCTCCTCCTCGCTGGTCCCTGAAAAGCCCTCCCGTCCACGACAAGAGCCACCCCATTGGAAGGCCATCGCTGCACGGGTCTGCCATTCCGGCGAGAGCCCCGTTTTGAACAAAGATCGTATTGCACTCTTACAATCAAGATTGTATTGAACAAAAATCGTTTTGATCGTTTTGAACAAGGATCGTTTTGAACAAATATCGTTTTGAACAGAGATCGTTTTGAACAAATATCGTTTTGAACAAAGATCGTTTTGAACAAAGATCGTATTGAGCAAGGTTTGATCATACAATAAAGCGAGGGGTCCCTCAACTTCGAATAATGTACCGCCCCGATCCTTGCAACTGCTGCCCTGGTCGTGCGCACCGGAGAAAACTCAATGTACAGCTCACTGTTGAAAAAGGAGCCGCCTTCCATCCGTGCAACTGTCAAACATTTTCAAGTGCTTGTTGTTCTGTGCCAATTCAGATAAACCAGCCAACAATGGCAACCAACGTGTATAGTATGAACCACCGTACATCCTGGAATCTGCTGCACACTTTACAAGCCGATAAGCGCAGCGCTAAATCGAGAGTGACACAATTGCCTGCCTTCCATCCTTGAAGCGGTTGTACACGTCGATTTCTAATCGTGCTCATTTCTAATTGTGCTCGTTTCTAATTGTTCCTGGCCCCCTAGTGGCCAGGAGGAGGCCCAGGATAGAACAATTAGAAATGACAGTATCTTGGCCCCTCTCAAACAATCAAACAACTTTCGAAAGCTTAGAAATGTAAGCTTAAAGGACGAGTGTGCACAGTGCGACAGCGAGATCCCCAGCTTTAAAGCACCCCGCCCTCCGTCCGCGGGGTTCGTGCGAATTTCAAGGGGTGAGTGTGCGCGGCGCTAAGGCGGAAAACACATCTGTTCAAACGGCACGCCCTCCATCCTTGAAGCTGCATCGACATTTGAAACACCAATGTGCGCGTCGCTGCGAAAACCCCATATTGAAAACGACCACCCCTCAACCCCTGAGGCAGTTGCATGCTTTGCGCTGAATGCGCGCGGCGCTAAGGCGAAGGTTCCACGTGAACCCCCCGCCCATCCACACTTGAACCCTTCGCAATCTCCAAGTTTCAATCTCCTGAATGGCAAGGACGTCTCAGGCGAAACGCCCAGCCCGCCTTTCCGACGCACCTCAGTGTGTTGCTTGTGTGGATGAGTTACATCTGCAGACAACGAGAATTGGGAGGACAGGAGGGTGAGGAGGAGGAAGAAGAGGAGGAAGAGGATACAGAAGAGGAGATTCAGGAGGCGAGCGCCAGGGAGCCCCAGCATAGGATGGAGAGGAGGAGAAGGACGAGGAGGAGGAGGAGGAGGAGAAGGAGGAGGAGGAGGAGGAGGAGGAAGAGGAGGAGGAGGAGGACGAGGAGGAGGAGGGGGAGGGGGCGAGGCGGAGGCGGACGCGGAGGAGGATGGGGCGGAGGAGGTTGCGGGGGATGAGGGCGAGGGAAATTGAGGGCAAAAATGAATGCGAGCAGGAGGAGGAGGAGGAGGAGGAAGAGGAGGAGGAGCATGAGGAGAACGCGTACGAGGAGGATGAGGGCGAGAAAGAGGACCAGGAGCACCAGGAAGAGGAGGAGAAGGCGGAGGGCGGAGGAGAAATAGGAGGATGAAGAGGAGGAAGAGGATGGGGAAGCTGGCGGGGGAAGAAGGGGTAGGTGGGCCTGGCAAGAGAGAGATCACACTCCCCACCTCCCCTCCTACTCATCGCGCGCCTCGCTGACCAGGAGGTTGAGGGCGGAGCGGCTGAGAAGCCGCATTTGGCGGCCGCGGGTCGGCAACCGGACGGTGAGACGAACGGGCTCGACCAATCCCTCCGCTCGCTTGATGGTTAACGTCAGAGGGTGCTCAGAATGTGTAGTGAGACGGAAGGAAGCAGGACGGCTGCGAACCTCTGAGACAGAGAAAATCCGCCGGCCCCCTTGTGGGGCCACCAGGCTGTAGGCCCGTGATTCGCAGTTTCCTGTACCAGTCGTAGCTTGTAGTTTCCAGTGTTACAGTTCTGCTTCTTGCTGGTTACTGTAACTAGTTGATTGACCGCGCGAGGGGGGGGGGAGGCCCAAACCAGATTTTTAGCGTCTCCTGGGCGCGTTGTCTAAATTGCTGGGGGGGCTCGAAATCGACACCCCTCGCGCAGATCCGCGGGGTCAGGGTCCAAAAACACATGGGATTTGCCACATTTCTGAAATTCGGTGCCACCCCTCACGCAGATCCGCGGGGTCAGGGTCCAAAAACACATGGGATTTGCCACATTTCTGAAATTCGGTGCCACCCCTCACGCAGATCCGCGGGGTCAGGGTCCAAAAACACAGGGATTTGCCACATTTTGAAATTCGGTGCCACCCCTCACGCAGATCCGCGGGGTCAGGGTCCAAAAACACAGGGATTTGCCACATTTCTGAAATTCGGTGCCACCCCTCACGCAGATCCGCGGGGTCAGGGTCCAAAAACACAGGGATTTGCCACATTTCTGAAATTCGGTGCCACCCCTCACGCAGATCCGCGGGGTCAGGGTCCAAAAACACAAGGGATTTGCCACATTTCTGAAATTCGGTGCCACCCCTCACGCAGATCCGCGGGGTCAGGGTTCAAAAACACAGGGGATTTGCCACATTTCTGAAATTCGGCGCCACCCCTCACGCAGATCCGCGGGGTCAGGGTCCAAAAACACAGGGGATTTGCCACATTTCTGAAATTCGGCGCCACCCTTCACGCACATCCATCGCAAGGCGTGGTAACCCGAACTGCGAGAACTCCTTCGGCCCTTTAAGCGCAAGGTGTGGTAACCAAGCCCGTAAACCATACACGTCTTACCAATTGCCAGGTGTGGTAACCCCTCTTGTGATCAGTTGGTTTTGCTGATTGCGAATCGGCTTCGCATGAAGTTTCGATACTGCTTCACGACAGCGCCAAGTCCTCATGACTTAGCTCTTCCATGGCCCATTCTCCGAGAGAGGGGGCCGGCGGCAGGGGGCGAAGCCCTTGCGGATAACGAGCGAGACTCACAGGGCAACCAGGGACGGAACGCCATGCTTTCGATCTCCACTGAATGCGTGGGCAAATTAATGTATCATGTGATATATCATCGAATTTAGTTTCGAATCCCAAAGTGCAACCGCACCCCGACCTCTGCAAGCGAGCACCAGTAATCCACGCGCCGAGCCACGTCCGAAGCGTTGCCTGAGCCCCGGCGGGGGGCGCGCGAATAAATGATCTCTTGCTCTGCCCGAGACGGTTCTCCCATTCAAGACAGCCGTGAACGCGTTCCCGGGCGCGGGCTCCGACGCGGGCGGCCAAGGGGGCCGAGGAGAACCGCGCGTCTTCGAACACGACGCGAACACACACTTTCCCACCGTGGCTTGCCTCTGGCATCCTGGGCGCCCTGGGATGAGGTCGGGCGTGTCCTCCTACAGGCGGATTTTGGACGACAGATCGACCATATTCCAAACATAGGCAGCCATAGTGAACACAAATAATTAGAAGCATCGTCCCCATACTATTGTTTGGACTATTTTTGAATATCTCCCCTGTAGAGAGGGACACGCCCGACTTACCCCCCTGGGACCTCGCGACGAGTAGGAGTAGGAGGAGGAGGAGGAGGAGGAGGAGGAGGAGGAGGAGGGGGAGGAGGAGATGGAGGAGGGAGAGGAGGAGGAGGAGGGAGGAGGAGGAGGAGGACGAGGAGGACGAGGAGCAGGAGGAGGAGGAGGAGGAGGAGGAGGAGGAGGAGGAGGAAGAGGAGGAGGGGAGGAGGAGGCGCAGGAGGACGAGGAGCAGGAGCAGGAGCAGGAGGAGGAGGAGGAGGAGGAGGAGGAGGAGGAGAGCTCGTCGAGACAGAGCGCGGGCGTGCTCCGCGGGGGTCGCGGGGGGCGAGGGAGGCGGGCCCCCCCCCCCCCCCCCCCGCCGATGGGGGGCTCTGAGCGCGGCGTCCTGGATGGGGCCCAGGCCAGGGCGGGGGGCGGACCGCCAGGGCGGCGCCTCCAGCTGGATGGGATAGAGTCAACCCGTATAGTAAGGATGCGCGGTAAGGACCGCCGGGGATAGACGCCCATCTCGAAGCCTTTCGAGCGGGGCGCGGCCGAGGAAAGTGGCGAAGGATGGACCGAGGAGGTAGGGATGCAAGGGTACCCTTGGGAAGGTTGCCCATGCTTGCTATGCGGGTTGACGGTAGATCATTTGTAATCGTAAGGTGTGCATGCTACCTCTGGGTATGGTCTGAAACTCACACTATCTCCCAAAAGCCATCACCTCAGAGAAAAAACAATACAGAGTTCCAGCAGGTCTTGCGTGAGCAATGCTGGTCCAACGACGCTGAAACTCATCCGTGGACTCTCCCAGCATGAAGGGGCCCAGGGACACGCAAAGAAACACACACACACAAATCCCCAGATTCCCCTAGATACTTTCTCATATCTTCTGGGTTTTCGTCTTCCCCCCTCACTCTCATGTTTTCCTACATTTTCTTGGGGATGGACGTTTTGTTGTTGTTGTTGTTGTTGCTGTTGCTGTTGCTGTTGCTGTTGTTGTTGTTGAACATTATTTCTTCTTAAGAATAATTATTGTTGGGGCCCCTGGTGCGCGCCCCCCCCGCCGCGCCTAGGCCGCAGCCACATTTTCATC